CCGCGTTTCAGCAGAACCGGCCATGACCTTAACGCTCCTGTCCCGGCCTCCTCGGACCCCGTGCGGTGCGCTACCGCGCAGGGCCCCGCTGGCACCTCGGGGAGCCACCCTGCCAGAAACAACCCACCCTGGAACGTTCCTGTATTCATCTCTCTCGGTTATTCTTTTCCCTACCCTAGCTCACAGCGCCCAGCTGTTTGTAATTCATTATCAAACGGCTCAAGGCAACCATTTCCCTTAGCCGAATCAAATGCCCGTCTGTGCGGCGCGCCCGTATGGTCTTTCAATACATACAGGCGTTGTGAGAAAACAATCAGGCAATGATACAAAACTGGATTTGTGTTTACACAAGTCTTCCATTTCAAACTAGTCCTAGGCTTCTACGTGAACAGGCTGTACATGAGACGATACCGGTAACGGTCACAACTCAGGGTTTCAGGAAAAGCACGGATTTAGTTGGGAGTTTATAATCCAAGACACCAAAACCCATACTCGAATCAAAACTTTTAATCTAAGACTCAAACTAAAACAATTCTTAAATTACCAGCTCTGAGGTAAGTTGGACAAGTAAATATGACCCCTATGTAACTTTTTTCAAAGAAAGCGGTATAGTTGTTGGTTTTACTTTATTTACTAAGTGTGAACATTTTAAGATTAAGTAATACAGAACTAGTACAAGCTCTTGTTTTTAGCAAAAACATCACTTGTAGCCAAACAACAATTTGGAAGCGTACTGCTGGCTGCTACAATTTGTATGTTGGGTAAAATGCTAAATAAATAGCATTGTCTCGTGGCGGGGGGGCGGTTCCAGGGTCAGACAGCATTGCTGCCTGCAAAAACTCAGTTGCTCCTTTCCCGGCTGCAGGGAGATGCTCTGCTTTCCCACAGCGGACTCGACTGTGCTTATTCAGGCACAGAACTCTACTCTCGTCCCAATTTTATCAGACGAAAAATCATCTGAACACCCTCTCTTACCAGCCAGTTTCGAACAGCGTTTGTCATCATGTGAAACTACACTGCCGACACCCAGAAGGCAATGAAACAAAACAGCTTTACAGAACAGAAAGAACCGTTGACAATCGGCACTGGCAGATTCTCCAGTGCCTGTAACAAAGACGCAACGCAGAGTTGGTATTGTAAAAGGGGAACCGTGGGTCGTTGTGGTGATGCGCTGACAGCACCAAAGGTCTCCGGACGCAGGACTGGCACTTTCCACCCTCAGCCGGGTCCTCGCGGGGCCGCAGGAGGCCGGGCACAGCAGCAGCGGGTGCGCAATCCCGTTTCACGCAGCTTGTCACACCTTAAACTTTGCCTTATGCATTCTCTTTCTGGGCACTGGAATTACAGAATCGAATTCTGGAGCACCAGCATTTGCCTCTTCAGGAAGTCTTGGGAACCAACAGGAGCTGACGCTGCCAAGCGCAGGCAACGATGACTCTCCTGCCCGGTAAGTCCCCCAACGACACAGCAGCGAGGGGAGAGCTGTTCTCTACCTCTCCTCCCCGCGGCCTGCTGCACTGATCCACCCTCTCCCCGGGGACCTGTCTCACTTCACAATGATCCCACTCAGGAATTTAAACCCTTTACCTTCAAAAAGCCAGTTTCTGCCATTTCCCTTCTGCTAGAGGTAACACACACCTGACCCCCCCAGCCCTGCTCAGGCCACAAAGCCCCTGCAGTGATGAAGGGATCGACAGCGGGACCTGGTGCCTTTCACCTTTCCCAGTTCCCACTTTAATAACAGACTCTCAAGGAAGAGGTTGGGTTGCTTCTTTCTTCTTGTCTTTTTTTAAAAAGTTTATTGTTTTTTATGTTAAAGATGTTTAAGTCTACAATAATTCTAACCTTTAAAAAAAAAATTATTTCTCTTTAAAAGAGGGTTGCAACATCAAGTTTCCTAATTCTTTTCAGCAACCTGCTAATCGGCTGGGGTAGCAGTAACAGTTTGAAACGGGAGACAGGCATTTAGTTTAGGTCATATCTCATATGTATTACTACTGATTTGGAATTTATGTTTAATTTTTATTATTAATCTCTAACTAATAATTAATTTTGGTGTTGTCAAAACCATCTAATGTACCAATAAGCAATCCTCAACCCATCTTTATTAGTAACAAGTTTCACTGGCACCTTCAGAAATAGTGAAACAAAATTACAAATTAACAGCCAACTCTAAAACAGGTATGAATTTAATCTCCCATATTCTGCACTTAAGAAGTTTTTCCCCCAAGTCAGAAAAGTTAAAAATAAAATTCTCCAGGTATGGACGAGATGCGATTAAAGTAAGCAGCCCGTTGTTCCAGTAAAGACAGAGAACTGAAGTGCCTCATACATAGTTAATCCAGCGGAGATGATCTGGCTCGGACCGAAAAGTGCATCCACCTTCGACTACAAATCTCTAATATATTCTTACATTCTTTTTGTGCTGTGCAGGGGTGAAACGGGAAGACTTCTAGTTTGGGGAGTAACACCAAAGTGATCTTATTTAGCTTGACTGATTTCGCTGTACTTGAAACAAACTGTGGGAATGTGCTGTTGCTGGACGGCAGCCAGGGTAGACCCGCAGCCCAGGGTTTGGCTTTCCGCCGACCGTCACGGGTGGCACCCCGAGAAGGGAGAGGGGAAGAGACAGAGGAACAGGCTTCAGTCCCCAAGGAAGCACTTGGTCGCACTCTCCTCTTCTGGACACCTTCTCACTCCTTACATCATATAGACACTTCATATATACCCATACATCCCCTCCAGTCGGTCAAAAGTTGGTATTGATTTACTTTCTTCCCCTCCCCGAAACGTAGAGTAACGAAAGATCCACAACCCCCTCTGGAGTTTGGAACACCAAGCTCAGGCAGGATGCAATACTTCAAATATTGACAAGGCAAGAAACACAGAATGGAAAAGAAAATCATGTACCTTTCAAAGGTATTTTTAATAGTTTTTGTTTTTCATAATGATGTAACCATATACATCCAACAATGTCCAGGTGCCCTCTCTCTAGGCGTACAGCACGCTTGCTGTACATCACTAAGGCACTCAGGAGGAAAGTCATTTCTGATAAACGCAACGGGAATGTTTCCACTAGACAGCATCAGTAATAAGTTCCCGTAGCAGCTCTACCACAGGATTTAGCTTGTTTGATTTACATGACAGCAAGTCATACACCAACTCACTGGGAATTTGGCAGGTTTGTCATCACCAAATCACTTTCAAAGGCACTGATCATCTCTGCTTACCCCGAGCTGGGAATAGTCACATTTTTTTCCACTGATTTTGAAACTGAATGTCCGAATTTTAGTGACGTAGAGGAACCAACATTCTCAATCCACTCCCTCAAAATAACAACCGCCTTCCGAAGGCCTTTTGTGTGCTAGCTGCCACACGATCCCGTTTACATCTCCAGGACTCAAGGCTGAGAGTATTGTGCGTTACTCAAGTCCTACCTTATGGCAACTTTTCATCAAGAAAGTACATTGAATGTAAATCAAAATGCTTTGAAACAGCGGAAATAAATTAAACAAATGTAATTTGTTTATAAAAATATTTTCTTATAAATCTTTAAAGCTTATAAAAGCCAGAAAATACATTTAAAAGAATCTCTGAAACATTTCATCCCTTGAGGTGTGGTTACAGTTCAGAAAGTGAGAAGAAACAAAGCCCACCGACATTTTACACTTCTCTTCCCACAAGGAATTCCACAGTACAACACGCTTAACCTGCAAGTCAAAACGCCTCTGACACCCTCCCCCGGGTCAACTCCCTGGGTCAGATCTTCGGTTTGAAAATAAAGAGCTGGAACTTAGCTGACAACGCTGCTGTTCAGACAGACATGGCACAAGTAGCTTTTCCATAGTTACTATATGGAAATTCAGACGTCAGTTATACCAGCAGCCATGACTGAAGCTAGAGCTTGGGGATATGTATGTGGTACGTAGGTGCCATTTTTTAACAATTACTTTCTGAACTTACATTTTCGTATTGGGAGGGCAAGTGGTATCACATACAAACATACCACCATTTCAGCCACCCATTTTTCCAGTGATGGGGCATTTAAAAATACCTATATTCCTGTGTATTGATTATGGGATATGTCTTCGTAATAAAAGTAAAATGACCTTGCTAGTCCATCCGATATTTAAACTGCATCAATTGGTCCTCTTGCACTTCCATGAAGACTGTCCTTCATCCTGCAGCTTTTTAAGTTTTGGCCCAAGTAGGAACCACCAGCCAAATCCCAGAATGACACAGATGACTGATTCCACGTAGTAACCATCCAAGGTGGTAACACAGGAACCGCCAGCTTTTGTGCAGAGCTGAAAGAGAGAAGCAGAAGTTGAAGCGTTAAGTCTTCTCTGTGAAATACAGAAACACAGACTTTTAGAAAACAGACATTAGATAGCCACTGTTTTTTACTTGCTCTTGGTTATGGCTAAATGTATTTGTTTACTCTTCCTTGTTTCTTATGGAGTTAGTAAGAGAGGCTTTCGACCTTACCATCAGTATGAAAAGTAACAAAAACTGTTATAAAACATTTGGGAAATGGAGCATACTAGCCCAAGGGGCAAACTCTAGAAAACAGGAACTGTCCAGCTGTCTCAGGCGGGCCTGGAGGTGCAATCGCTGTTCCTAATCCCATGAAGAAAGATCATTATTTTCTTTTCTCTAGTCATCCAAACTGCTTCTTTAGAAATTACGCCCTTGCATCTCACCACACTGAATCTGGACAGGACAAAATGCTGGGAAAAAAACATGACTGGGATGTTTTTTAATTGCAGAACTGGAAGACAAAAACTCCAGCATTTAAAGGGTAAGCGTATAGCACACGATTGTTTCTGCTATTGTTCAGCTCTCAATACTGTTATAATCCCAAGATAAATGAACCCTCCGAGTTGAGGTCCTGCCAGCATTCTCATTATTCAGAGACACATCAAAATCAGGTTAGGAATAAGAAGGGAGTGGTGGTGGTGCAACCTTGCCAACTGGGAAGATGTTAAAAAGATGTGAGGCGAAGGAGGAAGGACTTAAGTTCAGTAGAGGCCCAGGCACAGGAAACCTCGTTAGTGGCAAGCCAGTGAGAGACAGGCTGAAAAATCACCCACTGCAGAAGCAGTTTTCCCTCCGCAACTAGCAAAAACTTCAAGTCCAGTTCAAACAAGTCATATTTGACTCCTAGGACACTTAGTTTATTTAGAGAACCTCCACATCTCTCAGTGTCCTGGCATTCACGAGTGAATTAAATCTCAGTCCTGAGTATGGTTAAAAAAAAAAAAACAACAAAATCCCCCCAAACATTTCCACTCCTCCAAACAGTCACATTAAAATTTCTCCTTTGCTCATGAGGAAATGAAGTTGAAACCTTGCTCTCCAGGCAGTTTTGTGTCCTGTTGTTTGATCTGTGCACAGCAGCACAGCATGTTCTTTGTTCTCTTCTGCAGGGCTCCCCAGAACTGGGAAGGCAGCCAGTCACACCGCTCAATTTCATGTGGAAAGTGAAGATCAAAGACAGAGAGCAAAGTAACATCACAGGAGAAGGTATCGAGGTACCCAGATAGGAAGCCTCCAGAAAGACAGAAGGAACAAAAACCTGCCACAAAACTTAGAGGACTTGGGGCACAGACAGGCTGCCAAGAACAGAGCGCCTAATTACACAGCTCTGAACTTAGCAAGGTTTACTCTCAAAAATGTAACTACAGCCTCCTTACACCGCAGAGAATGTGGCACCAATCTAGTGCTTCTACCACCAGCTTTTCATCCCAGCCCAGAAAGAAATGGACAAGTACTCTGCAACTGCAAATCTTTGGTAAGATGTTAGTTATTAAGAGCGTACAAATAAAAACAGACTTGATTTTATCAGGCAGGAAAGTCAGCTCAATCAGTGGGAATTTTTAAGCATAAGCTATGCACTACAAAGGTTTTCAAAGGCAAAAAAATGCTAAGAGAAGGAATTCCATCAAGAAATAATTGAACAGAGACCTTCACAGCCTCCAAAACTTACTTCTGCAGCAACTGTAGTTGCACAGGTCTGTTGCTGGGCCCCTGCGCACTCTTTCACTGTGAGTGGGTCCACAAGCCAGAGCGCGACAGTGGAAGGCCAGTTCCCTCCCAGATTTGACACGGTGTTTAGGAGCGTCATGTAAGTCCCTCCAATCAGTGGGTCGCTGACTTTGGCGTTGAAAGCCATTATTGCAACATACATGCTATACAGCGTGATCTATAGAAGAAGTAAGAAAACCCACAGGACAGTAAAGTTTTTCCAGTTACAAACAATGCTAACTAAAAACCCTAACATAAACTGTTCTAAGAGATTACTTGAAGTTAGGAACACTGACTGAAAAACAATCCCCACAGCTTAAAATTGCGCAAGAGAGAAAATCCTTCTGCAGTCTATCTCCCTACTAATACCAAGAAGTAGCCTGGCCACTTGTCTCAAGTCATGCTGAAACGGACCCAGCCTCATGTGCACTGGAATGACTCAGCTTACCAAACTGAAGTATGGTAAGGCCAGCTAAAATAGCATCTAAAAATAACACTTTTGCATTTAAAAATCAACTCTCAAGGCATCGCATACGTTTTAGTTCTGATTGAAAGCCCAGTTTGTATCAGGCATCTGTTTTCCAGGCCTTTGGATCAGATCCATTATGACGTTCCTCCAAAATCAAAGTATTTTTTTAGGACCAGGATCACATAACTTTACGGATCTGCACAACAAGCACGATCATCATCATGCCTACAAAACGCACTCAGAATGCTGGGATTTCTCCAACTCCACCATGCTTTTGAGCTTCTGGGTTTGAGGAGAAAAAAAAAGTAATCTGGGAAACTAAAGAAGATCTGGTCAACTAAAAGTAACTCCACAGAAGCTGTCCAATGGAGCATATGGAAGAGTAAGAAATAATATTGGCAAGAGTATCAACAGTAAATATAGCCATACAGCACACAGGTCACACTTAAAGGAATTCTAGCATAACTGAGGACGAAAGCAGGTATCGGCATTTATAGTCCTCTAGTTGATTGGTAGGAAATGCCCTCCTGTCCCCCTCCCTTTCCCACATACAATGTACGTTACCTGATGTAAAGCATAACTCAACAATACTACAACATAGTAGTAGACAGGAAATCCTCCTTCATGTTTTACTTTAGGAGTCCACCATACCAAAAAAGCAAATTCCAGACCAAGCAGTAATCTGGAGGAATAAGATAGATACTTGGTAATTCAAGTGGTTCTTCCCATGTGTTTCCTTGCTACAAAGCAACTATCGAATATGTATACATACAGAATACATTAAAACAGTTTATATCTAAACAGGTACAACAATTTCTATCCTAGATAGAATTAGATATTAAATGTTTGACAAGCACTGAAATTGTAAACATTTTATACCTAAACAATTCTGTCTTCCATATAGACATAATTCCCTGCCAGATCTCCTATACTAGCCTTCTCCCCTGCCCCTTCACACAGAAACTTGTTTTTGTAGAAAGCCACACACAAGCTATCCAACCAAATTCTGCTGCAGCAAGATCTACTCTTTTTTCTTTTTTTTTTTTTCTTTTTTGCAAAAACATACATAGTTGCATAAGAACACATTAAAGTAATAGCCAGCTGTTACAGACATGTTACATGATTTACTGAGTAACAGCATTAGGTAATTTGCTGGATTCATTGGTTTTAGAATTCCACAAGCAAATTCCTATATAAAACACCACAGAAATTAAATGTCTCCTTGTCTGCAGCAGCCTAACCCAGCTTCTTTTACTCTCCGTTACCTCAGCAAAGCATACCTCCAGTAGACGCACCAAGTGACTCGTCAATGCATTCCGCCAGTCTTACACTGAGAAGCACAGGTACAGTCCCAGATCTAGTCAAAGTGATTCATGAACAAGGAACTATTGGCGCTGAATAAGAGCAGGAGAGTACTGCTCTAATGCGGTTGTATATTCATCTTAAAAACACCTCAGGTTCTGCTTTCTTACATGTGATACTACATGAATCATCTTCAAGGCACGAGACACAGAGAGTTCAACTTACTGTGAGAGTTCTGACATGCTTTTGTGTATCTGGAAGTTAGAGAGTTACACAAGAAATCCTATACTTGATTTGAATATGCAAATTACTACATTTGTATAAAATGAGATTTGTTTGGTTTTACCTGAAAGGCATAGCTTTGTAAAACGTGTTCAGCGGCTGGGGGCCTGCTGTGTACTTGCTGATAATCAGAGGCAGTATTATCTGTAAAGGAACCATTGGAACTGCCAGCAGAGCCAAGTGCTCTTTTGGGACTCCTTCTTCCACCAATTTGAGTCCTGTTACAGCATCTGCTGCTGAAAATCCAACCTGCAATATAAGGTAGACAAAATAAACTGAGGACAGCAGGGATAGTTTGGCTAGAAATTCAGTTTACTGAGTATTAAGTAAATTGAGAAATGTGATAGAGTACAAGTCACTTCTGTCTCTGATTTGATTTCCAAATAAGTTCCGAGACACATTCTAGACTTGCACACTTTTGTTGTCATCAGTGCCAAAACTATGCTAAGAACATTAAACCTAGCAATGACATTTGTGCCTGTGCCTTCGTTGCTGTTGGAATCCACAGCCACCAACAATAAGCCATGGAAACCTACTTTGTACAGAGTTGCAGATTCTGGGAATGGTATTTAGATTAAAAGAAGTATTTTCTGTCCTTTTAACTGCAAACTATGCAAACAGCTAACTGTTTAAAAACAAATTACTTTAATATTAGAATGCAGTCAGACTTCTCTTTAATGCTTGTGTAAATAAAAAAGCTCAAACAAACGTTTTCTGTTGTGCAACCCTGCTTAACACGATGATATAAGCAATTCTGTTTCAAATTTCGTGTGAAAATTCAGAACTCTGATGACACCCACTAGCAAAACTAAGAAATAAGTTGCATCACAGGGACTCAGCAACCTTTCAGACTTTGATATTTTCTGCATCTAACAATTCACATATGTATTTACTTACTTTTGCTGTGAGAATCAAGAGACAGAAAGTAAGAACCGCTGGCATCTTGATTATTGAGAATAGCAGCCTGTATGTATCAGTGATGCCTTTTGTTTCTTCCTTTGTTGGTGTTAGTTCCTTGTTTTCCTTCTTCAAAAGGGCAACCAGTGTAGTGGTGATTAAAAAGACAGCTCCCCAGAAAAAGAGGAAATCTGGAGGGGGTTAAAAAAAAAAAATCTTTCTAGCAATCATCATCAACACTTCATTAACAATTCACTGAGTATCTAAAATGCAGGGTTTTTTTTTTTCAAAAATATAAACCTAATAATCAAAAGTTGAATGAAAATATTACTTATTGACCCTCCCAAAAACAAGCGACAAAAGCAAACCACAAACACATAGTTACGTACAACTACTGCCATAGTTCTTCCCTGCCCCTCACTATATACCCACAGGTTTGCTTGAGGTCTGAGACAGAAAGGCAGCAGCAAACCAGGTCACTTCCCTGGTGTCCTGTGTATTACTACCACAACGAGCATGTCGGAGGAGAAACAGAAATAAAAATGAAAATTTTGAAGGATTACGCATACAACCACTAAAAGCTGATAAAGGCAGAAAAAACACATTTAAGAGTGACAAGATGGGGAAAAAGCTTCAGCGGAAGAAGTCATTCACACCTCTCCAGTTGATTTCCTGTGTAGTCACGCAAGTATTCTGTGCCTCAGGTCTATACTCCCTACAGAATATCTATCTACCATCTGAAGGAAACAAAGATTTATGCTTATGAGTGTAAAGATGGCCTGATGAAAGTTCTTACACAGTCGTAAAGAGTCACTCAAATATGTCTGGTTTAAGTGGATATTATACTTGCTAACTTTTAAGTGCTCTATTTTAAGCAGATATAAGATTTGCTAAATTGTGGATTTGAAGGCAGCAATAGTAAAAAAACACCAGTATTTCTACGGCAAGTACTTTCTGAGTTAGCGAATGGATTAATCTAAGATAATCCTATCCTCTACCTTCATGAAAGAGGCAAGAAAGAACTCAGTAACATGCAGAGGGTAAGACAGAAGTAGCCTTTTATCTTCCTGGTCACGAGCAACTCCAGAGGCCTCACGGTGACTTGAAAGTAAGCAGCGAGGGCTGGTGAAAGGGCAAAGACAGTGCAAAGGTTTAGTCAATTATTAGCTACTTCTTATGCACAAGAAGAGAACAAGCACAATAAGCATGGAAGAAAACATGGAAAGACTACTTTAGGTATAGCCCGCCGTTCTCAGTGTAAAAGAAAAAAAGGCATTTCAAACCATTTTCTGCTTCTTCCACACCAGCTACTTGTCCCTCTTCTAAAGTAAAGAAGATCTCATAACCTATGCTGTCAGATTGCTCTCTCCTCTGTTAAAAAAAAAAAAAAGTACCCTGAACATATATTTTGAAGGAAAAGATGACATTTCAGAGAGCCGTGCTAATCACAGCTCCTGTCTACAAAAGACATTCAGGAGTGGTACTCTAATAATAGCACCAAGCATTATCACCGCAGTGAGAGACCTACAGTGCGAGGATGGGAATAGAAATAGCTTTGAGCGTCATCGCATGAATACTCTTGATCAGGTCGACCCTGTCAGCTGCAGTACAGCAATGCAATGGCTGGGTTAGACACAAAAAAAAAACAAAAAAAAAAAAAAAAAGAAAAGGAGAAAAAAGCCATATGTTATCGTCCAGATTAAAAAAAAAATGGTTTTGTGGTTGCAGGCAGTTTACACAAAAATAAGATACACTTCCTCTCAAATACAGTAAAGTCCACTAAGAGGCTACAAGCAAAAGAACTTTAAATTTATAGTTTACACAAAGAATGTCTAGCACAAAGTTTCTGATGCCACCACTGCTGCCTCTCCCCATCCCTATTTTGTCTCTGCCTCTACAGTGCTACTAACAAAATAAACCATTGCATTAGGGCAAAGCAAACTTTTGAGCTCGATCAGGGACAGACCAGGCTGGAAAATAACCGTCAACAAGGTGTGCGTTGGGGTACAGGTGTTTCATCACAACAGCTTTAAGTAATTCTACAGCTACACATCTCCTCCCAGGAACAAGGGTGCTCCACAGTCACTGGCCCAGGTAAGTTTGGGTTGCCTTGAAGGGGCACCTTCTTCCCGCACTTGCACTTGACCTCTCTTCCTTCATGCCGGAACAGGCATTCAGGTGACCGCATGGCAAACTGGACAGGAATCAACAAACCCAGCCAGTAAGTTTCCCCCCCCATCCCTCCTTTAAAAAAAAAGTAATTTGAACAGGAAAGTGCTAAACTCATATACATGCTAGCACAAACAATATGCCCAATGAAATGTATTTCTCATTTTCTTCTCTAGAACAAACAACGTAACACAGCATTTGTTTTGATAAGTGGTTTTACATTTGTTCATATTATTTCCCGAAGCTAATGAGCTGTTGCTTCTCAACAATATGAAGCTGACTTGGGATCATGAAGCATTGACTTGTTCTTTCCCCAGCATTGGCACTCCGCCTATGACAAAAGTGTTCAGACATCTGAACTGGCAGAAAAACTATTCTCAAACCATAAAGTTTTCTAGTGCTTTAACCGCCTGAACCAGCTCATCACAAGCCCCATTACAACCAGTGCTAGGACCACAGAGCCACTCTCCTCCTTTCAGTGAGCTGGTTTACAGTACTGCTCCTCTACAGCTGCTTCAGGAGAAACGTGGACGCAGCAAATTGTGACATGCAGTCACATGAACAAAGGAACTGAAATTTCTTGCAGTCAGTTTTACCACTCAAAAACCCATATCTTGCAATTATAGCATCAGAGTTATTTGATTTTCTTACTCCACCCAAGTTAGTACTCCGGGACAAGTTAAACAACTTGCATTGGTGTTTTTTGGTTTGGGGATAATTTTTTTTTCCCCAAAGACAGCACTCCTGTAATAGTAACAAATCCATTTATACAAACAGTACTGACAAAAAAAAACCCAAAACAAAAAACCTGGACAGTGGAGGTAAGTATAGACAAACCAAGCTCTCTTAACTACACTAGTGATTTGCAAGTTGCATCAGCAGTGAAAGACGTCAGTCCGCCACTGCAGCAAGAGGGAAGAGATGCGCCAGCACTGATGGAACTACACAGTAAGGGAACGCAAAGGAAAGCAATAACCCAGCAGGGTTACTCTGAGGACTACTCCATGCTTGTTGACATATACACCAGACATGAGGTTGTCAACAGGAAGGAAAGAGGAAGCCTCGTTAGCAATTGTGATAGGTGCATAAGTACAGCAGCCTTGGAAACCGATATCCTGATTTATAAGATAGGTACAGGATAGCAAGCGAAAACTAGCCTTTAAACAACAATTCAACTCAGTTTTGGCATACTACTTCTCTTACATGATACAGGCAGAGCAATCAACATAAGAGAGGGAGAAGAAACTAAAACCACAGGAATTTACTCTTCATTGCCAGCCATGGTCACTTTGAGACTGCAACCAGAAGTGGTGCCAGCTTTCCCTGTCCTCCCATAAGCAGACCTAACTAAACTCAACCTTGCAACCAAAACATGTGGATTTTAAGCATCTTCTAGGTAATATGCCTAACATCAACCACCACATATAACCTTTCTGAAAAAAAAAAGCCAAACCCCAAACAAACCAAAAAATACCAAACAAAAGACATCCCTACACTAACAGCTAGTTATGGTTGGATTACCAGACTCTCATTTAATTCATTAAAGCAAAACCAAAATCTCCCTTAATTTACTAAAGGAAGACCTTCCTTCAGAAATCGGCTATGTGGTCAACCCTGAACATATCATTTCTACTTCTGTGAACAATACCAGCTTGAAAGAGTTGTTTGTTTGTTTGTTTTAATTTCCCCTTTCCTTTCTCCCAGAGGGAGATGTTCTTAAAAGGCCTCCTTAAAAACAGACAAAGCTTTTGGTTTGTTTGGGGTTTATATATTATAATAATATTCCATGGTATATTATACAATGGAATATCTTGTATATACATATATATATGAATATACAATAACCTATTCCATGGTCATTAAACTAGGGGGGGGGGAAATTATCTCCAAAGTGCTTAGGTTAGCCAAGATAATGACAAGGCAGGTTTCCCACACTCTTAAGCCCAGAGAAGCCTGGAAGTTCAGGGCATATAGCAGTGGACTGTGCCAGGCTCAGGGGAAGGCTGTGCTTTCCCGCGGGCAGGGGACAAACCAAACCTGCTCCGTTCACAGTGCCAAACCACCAGTTGCTCTTAAGAGCTTTGGTCCAGGCTCAGGAAAGAAGCACCCCCATCCCAGCATCAGCACGCACAGGCCGGCAGTACCTGAGAGGGTAACAATCCCTTGGGGCTGGGGTTGGAACCGCAGGTACCTGTTGCAGACCGACTCGAGGGCCAGGAAGAGGACGTTGCCCAGGAAGTAGCCGGCCGTCTGGCCCACGGAGTTGCAGGTGGAGGCATAGCCCACGTTCTCCCTGGACAACATGGTGAGGGCCCAGCCATCCACCGCAATGTCCTGCGTTGCTGCCAGGAACTCAAAGAGGAAGAAAGTCACAGTGAGGGCCACCACGTCGGGGCCCCGGCCCTCCCCGTCGCCCAGCAGCACGTCCACCTGGGTGGACATGTAGATCATGAAGAGCCCCAGGATGTACTGCGTGGGCACC